GTGGCTGTTTTTTTCTCCCCTTACATGAAAATGTAAGAAGATTCTGACTTGGAAATTCTAACCTAAGAGTATCTCTTCTCCTGATTTTTACATAACAAGTTTACCATCGTGGTGCTCAGATAGAGTAGCTTTCAGAAGATGGTACGTGGAGGGAGGTGGGCGGGGAGAGGGAATATCAAGCAGGTAAGGTCGAAAGCTCAGCTTTCAAGTCTGTTGTGACACTAATGACCAGATATTAGTTGAAAGAAGAAAACTGGATGACCCAGATGCAGTTCTGGTCTTTGAAAATAAGCTGTTTATGTAATCTGTGCCAAGCAAGAGGTAAAAGACTTGGAGATATGTATGATATAATGATGTTTATATTGATGTAGATAAAGATTTGTTTAAATCAAAGTTATTATCCCAGACCTGAGTGTTGGTCGATCACCAAAAGCTCCTTGGGAATCCTGAGGCCCACATTGCCACCCCCACTCACTTTCTTCCCCTCCCCCATTTTTTCAGAAGCCAGAGGATGCCTGCTGCATCTTGCACTGTAGTGCAAACAGATCCCCGCAAAGGGAGAGGAAGATAAAATGAATTTAAATTCCAAAGGGGTTCCAGTGCCGGTTTCCTAGTCCCCGAGTCAGCAATGTGTTTGTGAAAATTCAGCCTTTTTGTCTCCCAGTAAAAAGGAGCTAAATCTACATCGGTGGCCCAGTCTCGGGTTGCTATTCTTTGCATTTTCTATTCGAGTGAATGAGAGTGAATGAAGTGGCCGGGACCCTTCATTTGATCTACTCAATTGCATAAAGTGACAGAATTCTAATATATTTGTTTAATGCTCTTCAATGGGCTTTCACTTTTTTGCTTGCAAATGAAGCATCCGTGGGCAAAGTTTCGTCCCCCTTTAACACCGGGACATATTTCATAACTCAGGCGTTGGTTTGAAGTGATCTTGAGAGGAGTTTTAGACTCAAAAAGTGGGAAATAAAGAAACAGATGTGAAGTTATTGTAAATTCCAAGAGTGGGCTCTGGGGCTATTGTGCCCCCACGGCGGGCGGTCCAAGGGCTGTGCCTTTCATGCTGTAATTGAAACATATTAATTAGATAATTTGTTGTTAGTTTAAACGAAACAAATGCATCGCCTTTGAGGCTTCACAGCCGGTGGGTTGGGTTGTTTTTGTTTTGTTTTGTTTTTTGTTTGGGTGTCGCTGTGCATATGTGGCTTTAGGAGAAAAAAATAATTGACATTTATATTAAGAATCTGAGAACAGACTCTCACTCATCCTTCCATTTCTTAAATGGATACCTTTTCCATTTGTAAAAATGTAAACTATACCTCACCACCCCCACCCTGCCTTGCACAAACTAATGTAAAACCTTCTGTTTGCCGTACTCCATTAGATTTCTTCTTCCTCTCACCCCTTAACGTCACCCCACTAGAGCACCTGGCCAGATTTATGCTTCCAAGACATTCAATGTTCTCGTCTATTTTAAAGCCATTGGAGTCACTGCTATAATATTTAAGCCATTCTTAGGATCATTTACTAGCACTGCTCCTGCTAGTCTTAACACTTTTCAAAACCCCAACCCAGGCAATAGAGCAGTGAGAACTTGTGCAGCTTCTCTCTTGAGAAGAGTACACAAAATTCATCCATTGTGTAAGCGTTTCTCCAAATCACAGAGAAAGTCATGTATACAGTTGAGTACAGAATCATGTTAAAGACTCAGAGTAACAGAATAGCCAAGTTTCCAAATCGTACACCTGAATTAAAAAAAATCAATCCTGCCCAAGTTTACAAAATAGAAAATAATATGTTAAGTTTATTCTCAAAGACAAAACCCTGAACATACACCTCGCTGTTTGGTGGTGTCTCTTTCCCAGTTGTACTTTAAAGCCATGTGTATTGACTTTGGACTTGAGCCAGGTGAAAATACTTAACATGACAAAGAGAACCATTGAAGGTATCATAGTTATAAACTTCCTAATTTGTGGGGCACTTCAGCTAAACAGGGTGAGGTGGAGACGTGTGTTTGGGCTGCCTTTGGATTTCTGATCAAGGTCAAAATGTCATCAATGGATTTTTTACTTTACTCATTCAACTTTGAGAAAAGATGCCTGCAATTGTGAAAGGAGGGCTCACAATGCCCAAGTTATTTCATTCTTTGCAATATACCATGACGAACTTACCAGCTGAAAAGAACATTTTCAAATACTGAATTGAAATCACTTCTTTGCTAAAAATCAGAAATAGGATCTGCATCTTGTTTGCTTACATTTATTAAATATATGTATGTACACATCGCTTAACTCTGAATTCCACTGGCTATTATAGGAAGAATACTTGACTATCTAAGCTAATAATTTACAAAATGTTTGAGGCCCATGTTTTATGTTTCCTTCATTCCTAGTTTGAATTCAGTTAGTAAAATAGATGAAATTAGAATATTTCAGAGATGGCCTTAATTTTATTTTGCAGGAAATGATGGAAATGTATTTAATTTTTTAAAATGTAGGTGATTTCTTGTTGAGAACAAAGTTTCTAGAGTTTCCTAGCCCAGGGTGGATACATTTTCCAGGCTTTCTTTAGCTGATCTTGTTGATATAATTGTGAATTGGGCTTGATGAATGAGTTTGGTTGTCCCCTGTCTGACGAGCTTTAGTAGCTTCATGCATTTTAATCAGTTCAATGATTCATTTATTTTCCACTTTTTTTTTTTTTTTTGGCTGTGTGTGGGATCCTTCCTTTTAAAAAATGGTCACAACAGGATTAATTACCCTTTGCATTAATCCTAAAAAGTTTTTTCAGATAACTCTCTAAATATAGAAGGGTCGCAGGTGCCAAGGATTCTCCTTGTGGAGTATAGTGATCATGATTTCTCTGTGGGTTTCCCTGTGTTGCACAGTCTCTTGTTTAATCATTTTACACAGTAAAGTGTTAATCACTATTTAAGTTTTTCTTGTCTTGTAACTTCATTAGTTGAATACATCCCTCACTGGAAATATTGTGACCCCTTTAATAAAGTTGCAATTGGCTCTGAGCCATAAGTTCTTGGCAAATTTAAATTCTCTGCAAAAATCTGAAGAAAAGCAAATACTTAGAGTCAAGCATTTAAAATAACTTCATTCGCTTTTTAAAAATAAATGCATCAAGCATTATTTTCCCACATGAAGGAGTGAAAAGGAATCTGTTCAATTTCAAGTAAACAGGTTACTTGACATGCAAAGTGAACTTTTAGATAACTTCTGAAAAAGAAAATTTTAACAACTGCAATAATTTAAAGGAGCAAAGAAATAAAGCTGACTCCAAATAAGATATATCAGAATCTAAGCATTGAGTAAGCAAGTCTGTTTCTACTTTTTGTATCCCCTATAGCCTCTACCTGATTTCTACATAAGAATTACATTTATATGAGTGCTATATATTTTGTAAAATGTATATTTTAAGATAGAAGGAATACATACAGAGCACTATATTTTTTCAATAACAGTTTTTCTTTCAGCACTATATCTGTGCACCTGATCTGTGCTAGAAATAGTTTGTTTCCTCTTTCCTTCTGCAGAAATATCTTCAAGAGTCCATCTGAATAATTTCTCTCCCAGTCTGCAAGTGCGTAAGATGAGGTTTCACTGTTTTAAAAATAAGATATGAACAAGACAAATTTAGACAATATATTGCAGAAAGCATTCTTAGAAAAGCACTACATCTACCTTTGTAAAGTGATTCTGTGCAGCAACTCTTGAAAAACACACAAAACTAAAGTTTTAATTTACATATTTTAATGAGAAAATATTATTTGGACTAGGTTCATAATTTAATGTAGACACCTTTTTAAAATTCTTTGTCTTGAAAGAGGCATGCTGGGAACAAGAACATCGATATTTAAAATGTCATGCTAATTCTGTACAGGGTGGGGAGAAAAATGAAAGGTAAAAATTTTACAGCTCCGATGACACTACAACTTTTTTTTTTTAACTTAAGCAGGTCACACCAGAACAACAGTTCGTTTTTCAGCAAATACCTAAGACTCTAATAGAATATAGCAAACAAAAGTGCATTTTACACAGTGTATATAATCATTCCTATTCACAAGCATTTACACCTCTTTGCAGCCCTTAGCTTCTTGGAAAAGTTTATGTAGCAAACAGGACTTGTCCCTGGGAGACCTATCCCGTCACATCTCCTTCATGTTACCAGTCAGCTTATCTAAATTCTTCTAGGGTTGCCCTTGATGCTTTCTTAGTTTGGGCTTATTTCATCTCCTCCACGCTCCCCGCCCCCCCCCCGCCCCCCGCAACAATAAAATAAATAGCTAAAAAGGTCTCTAATCAGAAAGTTAACATCCCAATTAACTCTCCCATCCCGCCTTCCCTCCCCTAAACCTGGCTAGAAATGAAGAGTAAACATTCACATTACAACAGGTAAAGTGGGCTTTGCCCGCTCGCCCGCCAAGCAATACAGATTCAAGTTCACTGTTTACATTTTACCGGGCGCTTTGTAAACAATACAAGGTTACTTTTAGTTTTGTTTTGTTTATGTGGAGGACAAACATCCCCTTCCCAGCTTAGCAGCCTCCTCCAGCGCCTAGAGCCTCTGGCAGGACACAAAACCCAAAGCAAAAAAACTCTGCAGAAGCTGGGGAAGCAGGCCTGCTACTCGGGGAAGCTGCGGTCGGCCCAGCCCCTGCCGGATGGGCGGAGGCGAGTAGGGTGGGAAGATTAGTGGTCTCTTTTCGCGGCAGATTTCCAAGATGTGAACAGATCCGGCCGTCCGCTGCGCGCGCCTGCAGCCCTCAGGGGAGATCTGTTCCAGGAAACCTCTGAGGCGGTTTCTCTGGTAGTGGAACTAACTGCGCAGAGGCCGGAGGCCCGCGGATCCCGGCCGAAGGAAGACGAGCTCCTCTCCGCGAAGGCGGGAGGCAGGATTACCTCTGGCTCTTAAATGGGAGGGAGTTTCGAGGGCCCCGGGGATGGGATGCCTTGGCTCAGGTGCCCTCTGCCTTCCCCCCTTGAGGGGGCGAGCACAACTCCCACGCGCCTCCAGGCCCATCTTCAAGTTTGTGTTTTGTCTCCTGGGTCCAAAACAAAGTTCTCATGGGCAAGAGAGGGTTGGCCGAAGGTGAAATGGACAAGTCAGAGTGGCGGTCCCGGGTCAGGGAGGGCAGGACTGGCAGCTCGGGAAGGCGAGTGAGCTGGTGGTGAGGGGAACAAGAGGGGGAGCCGGCCGCTGCGGGTCAATGCACCGCCACTGAGTGTAAGGCGGAGGCCGGGCTGGTGAGCGTTTCGCTGGGAGTTGCGGGGCTGCTTTGGCTGGTGGCTGTTTGCGAGGACGTGGGGCTGAGCGAGGGCGGCGAGTTCGAGAGCAAGGTGGGGATGGGCGCGGGCAGCGCCGGCAGCGCGGGCACTGCAGCGGGAGTGGGCTTAATGGGCACCGGGATAGCGGGCAGCGTCTGGCCCGCTGCGTGGCACAGAGGCTTCAACGGCACGCCGTAGGCGCTGTAATCGCCACTAGCCATGGAGATGGGGGTGGCCGAATCTATCATGCCTGCGGAACCGTACACGTGTGGCCAGCCAGTGCCCAGCGAGCTGCCCATGGTAGTCAACTGGTTGGGGAGCGGGTAGGCGGCGGGCACTGGCTGCATGGCGGAGAAAGCCAGCCCCCCGGGCATCTTGTACTCGCGCGCGATGATATTCTCGATGGCGAAAGGGTGCTTGAAGCCGGAAGGCTGCGCCACGCCGCCCAGGTTGTAGGCGGCAGCGGGCATCTGGGGCAGGTGTGTGCCGGAGGCCGCCAGCGCGCTCAGGCGCAGCTTGGCCTGCTGCTGCAAATACTGCGCAGCGTCGGCGGGCTTGCTGGGCGCCAGGTGGTCCGACTTGAGCACCTTGAAGCGCTTGCGGCGCCGCAGGAAGCTGCCGTTCTCGAACATGTCCCCGCAGCTGGGGTGCAGTGCCCAGAAGCTGCCCTTGCCCGGCTGGTCTGGCCGCCGCGGGATCTTGATGAAGCAGTCGTTGAAGGAGAGGTTGTGGCGCAGGCTGTTCTGCCAGCGCTGCGTGTTCTCCCGGTAGTAGGGGAAGCGGTCCATGATGAACTTGTAGATCTCGCTCAATGGCAGCATCTTCTCGGGCGAGCTCTGGATGGCCATGGCGGTCAGCGAAATGTACGAGTAGGGCGGCTTCTGGTCGCTGTACGTGTTGCGGCCGGGCCGAGGCATCTTCCTGTTTGCCCCCTTCTTGCTCTGGGTCCGCGCGCGCCGGCTGCTACTCGTATCTGAGAAAGGGTAAAGATAATGGGCGCGGGCATGGATGCACAGATAGACATCGCGAGATAGGCCACACGAAGTACAGACTTCGGGGATGGCGGGTAGAGGCCGCGGCACTGGATAAGCCCGCGCTCTGTAGCCAGCAACTTTGCGTGCAGAATGGGGCGCAGGCAGAACGGCGCGAGAGTAGCACAGAAATAAACTGGACCTGGAGCGGGGACTGGGGCAGGGATGCAGAGAGCGGCTCACCTTAAAGTTGCTCCAAGTTGCGCGTCCGCATCCGGGATGGCGCTGCTGCTCGCCTGGTCCTTCCCGGCGCGCAGCCGGGACGCAGTGTACCGGCTCGGCTGGACTTTGCAAGACACTGGATCCTCAGCTCAGCCCCGCGGCGCCCGGCGCCGCCCGGTCCGCACAGCTTCTGGCCGTGCGCTCTGCGGGCGGCCGAGCTCGGCTGCGGAGTCCCGGCGAGGACGGTGGCAGCGGCGGCCTCGGGGCTCCGGAGGGCGCTGCTGTGGACCCCGCAGCTCCGCTGAGCTAGGTGGCTGCCTCCATGTCCTCCCTCGAACCATCTGATAGTTTTAAGCGGTGACAGGAGCAGAAAAGACCCCTGTAGCGGCGCTTCATTAATGTGCCACTTCTTAGCTATCATATGACAATCGCCTTGGGAGGAGGAGGAAGAGGAGGGGGAGCGGGGGCTGCAGAGGGAGGGGACTGAGCGAGAGGGGAGAGCCTGGCCAGCTCCGATTTCTTTCACACCTATTTACATGGACACCTTGGCCAATAGGAATCACTTCCAGCTCAAGACTGGGCGAGGGGGAAGAGCCTCGGCCACCGGCGGGGAGCGGGACACGCCGGCCTGGGTGCGCGGTGTGAAGGTATGAGGAGGCGGCGACCGCGGAGCAGGGATTCAGGCGACCACTGACGTTCACAGACCGAGCTGCCGCGCAGACGATGTTTGACATGGAAATTGCTTGGCTGGGGTATTCTGTTTCCTCCGCATTGTATCGGGTTTGTATTGTTAGCTAACTTCAGGCACGGCTTTCCCCTGAAGCAGACCCTTTTCCTGCGCTTGGCATTACCAGGGGCTAGTTGCATGGGTTATTGTAATGAAAATACACCCTTCCCCCCAGTCCTTCAAGAGGCAGGTCAAAGTTTGATTTGACCTCCCTAGGCTGCTGCCTTAGCTCTGCACAGTGGGTGTGTAGCTTTAAGTGATGGATTTTAAAAATACTTACAAAAATGTAATTGGGCAGCCCTGTAAAAGTCCATTTTGAACATAACTGTATTGACCAAATTTAAAAAATTAAAATGGTGCATCTGGGCGAATAGGCTCGGTCTTTACTTTAAAAGCCCTCCAGGAATTTTATTAGACACAAGATGAAGGCTCTGGGGCTGTTGGGCCGACTGTGTGCATACCTGGGGAGGGCCCGAGTTTGTTTGACACACTTTATCACCAGATGAACCGCAGGGTCTCTCGCTTTCCCTAGGTGATTTGAAATTTTGGGAGTTAGGCGTTGCCTGGAAGTTTGCATTTTACAGCCGGAACTTTCTTCCCTCCCCACCCCCCACCTTTTTTTTTCCCCCCCATAGAGAACCTATTTAGGGTTTAGAGAGCCCAGCAAAAGCTGCCTGCGGCCCCACGAAAACAGCAATGTCTTATAGACTTGGCAAAGAACCAGTGAGTTTAACTTTTTTTTTGAGAGAGAGGGCAGGAATGTGCCTCAGGTCACACTCCCTGGAGCAGGTGACAGGCTCCCTTCTGTTCAGTTTGTCTTGGAAGGTTCCATGAGTTATCATCATCATCATTATCATCGTAGTTGTCATCGTCGTTGTCATCATCAAATTGCAATTAAAGTGAGTCGACCCTGCCTGCATGCACGCAGTCTAAGAGTAGACTCTAGGAGGTCTCACTGATTTCTGCACATTCTACAACCTTTATGGTTTTTAAAAGAAATTTCCTGTGTTTTTTAAAAAACAGTACCTACAGGTCACACTGAATCATCTTCAGTCGGGAAATGTGAGAACTTTTGTTTTTTTCCTTTTTCTTTTAAGGAGGACGTGGTGATGGTGATGGCGGTGGTGGTGGTAGAGTTCTGGGTGTGAAGTTTTGACACATTTAATGATATTAGAGCATTTTCGGTGGAGCTGTTTGGGGTTAGCTAAAAAAAAAAAAATCTTCTAGTGCGAGCGCGCGTGCGCACACACTTCCATTAACCAGTTTCAGAGTTGGTCAATAACTCACCAAAACGTAACTTAAACACGATGAATTTAGGAGATTAAACAATTTCATTAATATTGAAATGGCTCTCGCGTCTGGGCTGCCTCGCTTGAGATGCAGGCGCACGTTTTTCAATATTAACAGAAGTGCTTGAAGAAAAGAATAATGTCACCTTCTTAATTCAGAAAAAATAACCAGGAGGAGGCGGTGGGTGCGAGGGGATGAGGGAGTAACACTGATCTGTCTCTGGGGGCACGGCTCGAGAAGGGCTGATAAACCCTCTGCTGCTAAACCAGCTGGACCCGGGTGGAATCTCTGCCGAGCTTCCGCTGGAGGCAGCGGTACTTGGTGGAGCTGCGCGCGCTTCAGCTCCTGAGGAAGTGCGGCGTTTGGGGAATTATTTTGTGCGGCCCTGATCGGCTTGAGAGCCCTGGCATGGGAGGAGCTGGGGAGCCTGGGAGCCTGAGGGACCCCGGATGAAGAACAGTAGTGAGGGCTTGTGTTTCCCAGACGGAAAGGTTTTCCTGCTCTAGAAGGCAGATGGCCTCAGAGGTACAAAACAGGGTGCTCCTGTGGGCAAGTCAGGAGCCCTCCTGGGAAGGAGAGGTACCAAAAAAGAAGTTCTAAGAACTTTTAGGATCCTTTCAGCAAATATGTGCATACTGACATACAGAATATAGGTAAAATGTTAAGAGTGGTTGGATTCGGGATGTGGAACGGTAGGAGCGAAAGAACTGTTTCCCCGGTGACAGCCAGGAAGATTGTTTTCTATTGCGCGGTGCCTGTGTTTGAGGGTGGGGGATGAAGAGAGAAATATTTTCTTGTTTTAACGATCGGCATTTTGTTGCCTTGTAAAGGGCCTTTGTAAACCGTGGAAATCATTGCTTGGAGTAAACAGAAGATTAAAATATAAGAGTGGGAACGTTTGGGTTAAACAAAAAAGCTGAGTTGGAATAAATCTTTGTTCATTTTCCCGGAAAAGTTGTCACCACCAAGTTTGAGACATGCGAGGATACAAGTAGGAATTCACGCCTGAGGAATCTTCAAAGTTTGGCTAGGGTGAGGATGGGCAGTGAGGCTCATTCATTTTCTATGCCTGGGCTGGGGTTAATTAAGGAAATCGAAGCTAATAGCACAAGTTTGCCTTGGTGAGGTGAGGAGTTGTGTGATGTGCACATTTAAAACATGTCCTTTGCTACGACAATGTGTCTTGGTTCCTAGTGAAGATCTACAAAGCCCAGGGGAAGGGGGAGGAGGATTTGCATGCTATTTACAGCGTTTTAAGACTGGTATTATGAAGAAGAGAGGGGAAGGAGCACTTTCCAGAAATCTTGAAAAGTGCATCTGAGTCTATTATACAGAACCCAAAACAAACAGAAGCTTTGGGGACGGGGCACATCCAACCAGGAGGCTTAGGGAGTTGTTGTGAAAACTGTATAAAATACACATAAGTCAATTATACCCATGTGCAAACCAAATGGAAAGCTCTTTCGTGCAATAGCCATTCATCGCCTCTGCGGAGCCCACCACCGACCACCTTTCTGCTTGGAGAGTTCGCAATAGCCTCTTTTCCCACAAGCTGGACCACACACGGCTACAGATTTCCTAATAATTTATGCTAATTTCCCTCCATAAATCCACAATTCGCTTCAGTGGCACCCGGGCTGCTGAGGGAGTAAAAAGAAGACAGAGAGGTGACAAATACAATATTGATTTTGATTCCTTCTGTTGTCAAGCAGGTGTGTGTGTGCGTGAACGGTGGGGCTGGTGTTTGGGGCGGGGGCTCTAGAAGAGGAAAACCCTCTCGAGCCCGGCGGCCCCTCCATCCACACTCCAGAAAGTAACTCGCCCTGGTTGGTTAATATTTACCAAACACCGACGGGAGGTGGAGGGAAAGTACCCGGCAGCTTCCGAAGGTTTCCTAGGCGCCAAAAACAATACCCGCCTTCCCCACTTGGAAAGTGAACTCTGAGCTGCCTGGAGCGTTTCAACTAAGCCTTCCTTGCCCGCTTCTCCTCCTCCTTTTGCCCTCCTTGTCCTTCCCTCCTTCACCTCAAGTCTCTCCCCGCCCCTAGTGTGAGTCTCTGCTCCACTTCTTTCCCCTTTCTTACCGCACCCTTGTCCCTCATTTCCCTTGGCTTCACTTTTCCCCTCTCCCCTCCACTTTTTTTTTTTTTTTTTTTATCTCCTCTACGAAACGGGCTGTGAAATGTGCGGGGAGGGTTTGGGGTGGGGAGTAGGAGGTCGAGAGCTGGCTCAGCGTTGATTTCAGGTTTTAGGGTCTCCTCTGGCCCACGCCACCTCTCCTGGCCGCCTCCTGCAGTTGCCCAAGCTCTCCGCTCTCTCTGGGAACCCGTGCTATGCTACCGTCCTGCTTTGTCCCATCCGTCATTCGTCACCAAATCTGCATTTGGGTGGCGTGAAACAACTTAGCTTTCCTTTCAAAAGGATTTTGTTCCCGGGGTATTCAGCACTAAAACAAACTCCCTGAGCCTGTCAGCGGTCAATTAAAAAAAATTGTCGTTCTAAGTGTCCTGGAGGCTGTTTGTCCTTGGAATCTGTGTGCCTCTGCCACCCGCACCCCTGCTTGGCAAAGCCTGGCTCTAACATTCTGGAGTTAGACCAGAGGGAAGCCGCTCAGTGAGTTCTTTCGACCTGGGGCTCCTGGACCCAACGAGTCTTGCGGGTTCATGGGCCCCGGAGACTTGCACCAGTTGGGCACTCCATCAGGGGAAACCTACCGGCCATGACTCCCCCGACTGCCTGGGGAGTTTGAACCCGCACTGCATGGCCTCTTCGTCCAAGTCTGGCGGGAAATCAAATTGCCCAAGAAAGAGAGGCGGGGGAGGGGACACTTTGTGCTCTGGTGCCAATGGCCAACAGGCAGTGAAAGGACTCTGTCCCCTTTCCCTGCCAGCTCTTCCCCAGCGCCCACCACTGCCACCCGCCATGCACGAGGCCCCGGAAGGAACACACCTATTTTTCCCAAGTAGTAGGAAAGAATGTGTGCCACGGAACTTTGGAGCCATGTATTTCATTGGTTGGTGACTGGGTTACATGGGGTTTGGACCTTAACTCATAATAGGGAGGTGGAAAAGAAACTTTTGATGAGTATACAAAATCAGTTCTTCCTTCCGGGTCCAATATTGCTGGGTTCTGAGAAAGGCAAGTCTCCACCTTCTGCTCACTCTTCACTCCCATCCAAACGGGGGTGGTGGTGGGGGGCTCAAAATCAGAAGTGTCCCTCCCTAGTCCCTGTTGCCTGGAAGCCCTCTGGCTGTGGCCCCTTAAGTTAAAAGCTATGTTTTCCTTGGGGTTAGTAGAAAAGGAGTGGCAACACCCCAACCCTTTTAGCAGTAGTTCCCTAGCAGCTGCTGCACTTTGCAGAGTAGGGAAGGCTCAGTTTTCCTTCTACCTCAAGCACAAAACAAACAGCAGCCAGTGT